CCTTTCATCTACTCCTGCTGATAGTAATTCTACCCACATCTGTCTATTGGAGACTCTGTGAGGTGCCAATTTGGGCTGGGTTTTACGGACTCCTACTTTCTGTCACAATCTTTCTGTCTTTCCTAGATCTGCTTTATCACATGCTACTTGCTGGAGGGCTGCCCTACTAACAGGGATAGATAGTATTGACATGAGGGCACCATAACTGGATGGCAGGGCTGCATGTGACACTGCATCCTTCATTCTGGCAGTAAAAGCCACACTATCTGGTCCTGGGAAAGGCTGCACATAAATAGCATATTTCATTCCCAGTTCTCACAAATAGCTCTTTGATTCTTCCATTGAGGCCCATAAAGCATAGAAATAGCTCCTGAATTTGGCCACATATTGTGAGTGGCAAGAAGAAGCTAAGCTAGTAATGACCCCTACTCTTCAATCAGCGTCCCTGATGTGCCACTGACATAAAGCAGAGTGAGCAGTTACTGAAGCCATCTTAGACAATTCTATACCATTCAACATTATGCCATCTGCTCCAGTGTCCCACAGGTGGAGCAGCCATGCAGGTACACTTCCTTTCATTTTTTGCCTAAACTTGGACCCCAGTTCTACCAGCTCTGCAGGAGTATATGGTCTCATGGGGGAATGTAAATCTCTCTGTGGAGCAAGGAGCAGATCTGGATTCAAACCTCAGCCTGCTTCTGCTGGGTTTTTAACTTTTGAACCATTACAGGTCTAGCTTCCACTATTGTTTTGTCCTCTACTGCCACTTCTGAATGACTGGCAATACTGGATTCCCTGAGTGGGTTCCACTGAAGGTCCCAGTTTTCACTAGTCACCAATGCCCTTCCCTGGACTCTGGGCCTATGATTTCACTCAGTTTAGCCTAATGGCAAGCCATGACCTGTAGACAGTTGTCTGTTCTAAATGCCTTGACAGCACATCCTTGCCGTCAACCTGTTCAAAATGAGCCTTTTTCTAGTTCCTAACTCTTCCTATACTCCCTGGAGCTGAGCCTAAGTGGCTCCCGGAGTTCCCTCGCAGACTCCATGCGCTTTCACAACTCTGAAGTCAACTTGACAAGTTTCTCTTTGGAATCCTGCCCATTATGCCAATTTTTCAATCCCAGGGCTGCAAATGTCCCAGTGTATTGCTTTTCAATTCCAAAGAAAGAACTTGGAGGACTCAGCAGAAAAGATTTAGACATTTTATTACGTACCCATTCATTGGTGGTAGTGGGCCAGGATATCATTTGTGGAAGTGAGGGACAGGCAAGCAAGGTAGTATAGAGGGACAGAGGGAATTGAGATGTGCTGGCCTAATGACAATTTGTGTGTGTGTGTGTGTGTGTGCGTTGTGGTGGGGATTGAATCCAGGGGTGCTCTACCACTGAGATACACTCCCATTCCTTTTTATTTAACTTAAATTTTTAAAATTCCCCAGAGTTCCTCTTTTATTTTTAAACTTTAGTTATTTTTTTTTTTTATGTGATGCTGAGGATCAAACCCAGTGCCTCACAGGTACTAGGCAAGAACTCTACACTGAGCCACAACCCCAGCCCCTTAATTTTGTTTTTGAGACAGGATCTTGCTAAGTTGCACAGGCTAGTCTCAAACTTGCAATCCTCCTGCCTCAGCCTTCTGAGGGGCTGTAATTACAGGCATGTACCACCACACCTGGCCCCAATGACAATCTTAACTTACTTCATGGGTTGCTCTGGAGCTAACTTGGGCCAGAAAAACCAGACCTTCATGCCCCAGCGTTGATTATGCAATGTTGGGTGTGGGCCCACCTGGAAAAGGACATGACCTTGGATGAAGCAGCTGTAAGCAGATCCCTGGAAGATGTGACAGCTGACCATTCTGACAACACTCCTAACAGCATGTCAACACTCCTAACAGCATATCTCAGGTGTGGTGGCCACAGACCTTCATTGAGGAAGGATTTGGGAAGTGTGTCCCCACGTCCATCACACAAAGGAAAGTAGAATCAACCCATCCTGGTGGCAGAGCCTCAGACTCAGAATGAAGCACTGAAAAATGTCTGAGTTATTTTGGTATTTTATAAATGCAATTATATTTTCTGTGTCATCTTGTTAGGGCAAATAAAGTCTTCTTGTAAGCCTTTAGAGGGAACCTAATGATAATTTTCTATTTTTATTATTTGAAATTCTACTGTAAGAAAGAGCAAAGCTTTCTCCCAAATTTATTTATTCTATTATTCATATTGTTATAGACTCAGCTTTTATTTTAGTCTAAGGGTTATAATCTAATACTACCAATATTTTCTCACCTAACTGGTTCTAGCTTTGGCCATTAGGAGATCCTTTGAGTTGGCTCCTGTGTGAGAAAGTCATGTCCTTTTTGAGTTCTTTCATACTTTATGGAACCATGTAATGTTCCACACCTAGTCTTTTTCCCTGTTCCAGGTTGGGAATCAATTATTTCCCCAAGGGAACCTGGTTCCTTTTTAAAAAGAACAATGTTAGAAATTAAGATCTGGAAACTGGGGACTTGTTGGTACTTGGGAAGATTTTCTTAAAACATCACTATGTTACCATTATTACTCCTAAAAATATTAGCAATTCCTGAATATATCCTAAAGTCTGGTCAATGGTAAAATTGTCTCAATTGTTTCAATGTCTTTTTAGAGTTGATTTATTCAAATTAGGATCCAAACAAGGTTCAGTTTTTCTTTTAGTTGGTTTCTATTTTAGTCAATTTTTCATTGCTGTGAACAAAAACAAAACAAAACAAAACAAACAAACAAAAAACTGAAAAGAACAACATAGAAAAGAAAAAGTTTATTTTGACTCACAGTTTCAGAGGTTTAATCCATGGTTGGCTGATTCCATAGCTCTGGGCCCAAAGTGAGACAGAACATCATGACAGGAAGGTATGGTAGAGGAAAGCAGGTCTGGACATGGCAACCAGGAGCAGAGAGAGAGCTCTGTTCACCAGGGACCAAATATAAACCCTAAAGTTACACCCCCAGTGACCTTCCTCTTCAGCCACATCCTACTTGCTTACAGTTAACTGCCCAGTTAATCTATATCAGTGGATTAATCCACTATGTTAAGATTCTCATAACCCAATCATTTTTACCTCTGAAAATTCTAGCATCATATCATATGTGAGCTTTTGGAGGACACCTCATATCTAAATCATAACATTTTAAATTTTAATCTTTTTTTTTAAAGAGAGAGAGAGTGAGAGAGGGAGAGACAGAGAGAGAATTTTAATATTTTATTTTATTTTTTTAGTTATCGGCAGACACAACATCTTTGTTTTTATGTGGTGCTGAGGATCGAACCCGGGCCGCACGCATGTCAGGCGAGCGCGCTACCGCTTGAGCCACATCCCAGCCCCTAAATTTTAATCTATAACAGTCCCCTCCTTTTTCCCTTGTCATTTGTTGAGAAATAATGTCATTTTTCCTGTAGAAATTACCAGGTAGTAGATCTGATTACTTGCATCAGGACGGCGTCATTTGTTTTTCACCCAATTCATTGATTTTTTTTGGCAAGAAGATTTCAGAGGAGGTTGTATAGTTTTTACTGTCATATAATATCTTCTTGCCTTTCATTGTGATGTTATAATTATTCAATGTGTTCTGGTGTTTTTGACCTGATCTATTATAAAATTTTTTACCAAACTTTTCATCTAATGGTGTTAACATCCACTGATAATTATTGTCTAGATTCATTATTTCATTAGAGGCTGCAAAGTGAAGGTGTTCTATCATTCTTTTGGCACTCATCAGTTGTTTGTTTTATAAAAAAATTTCCCCATCAACTGAAATATGGTTTGTATAAGAAAGGGCTTGGAATAAACGCTCGATTCTTTCCTTAGCAAACTTTGAGGTGACCAGAGACTTTATTCTCCATGTCAAGATGAACTCATGAAATTTAACATTTAATATTATCCAGTCATCCTTTTAGATGCTCATTTTTTTTCAGTATTTAGCCAGTGGGATCACTTTCAGGTTGACTCTTGTGAAATGATCTCAGTAGCAGTTTATGGCTTCTTTGCTTTCTGGCAAGACAAAAGGTAGGTTAATCTAGTGCATTTTCTTCCCCAAATCTGAACCAGCCATTTCTCCCAATGGAATCCCAGTTCCTTTTATGTGGAAATAGTATTTTGGAGCTCAATGGTACTGACTGGGTTGGTCTCTGATTCTAGTGCCCCCCACCCCACCCCCTTTAAAAGAAAAACACATCAGATTGGCTCTTGTGTTCTTTTGACAAAACCCCACCCTTTTGTGAGTTCTTTATGGCACCAGAGGAAATTCCAGGCACGTCCTGTATTTTCTCTGCATCATGAATTCAAACTTACAGAAGTTTAAAATTCTGACATCCTCTAAGTTAGCAGTCTATCCCTTTTTTAGCATTTGCCATTATGTTTTACTTGGCTCCAACTAAAACTGACCTTGGAGAGGTCTTTTTCATCTTAGGGGAGGGTGTCCTTAGTTTCCATGACTGAAACAAGAGAATGAACTTAATGTTCCATGTCAAATGCAAGTATGCAAATATATTTATACAGACATGTATATATTGTATTATTGTATCTTTTTACATGTATTTTTTGCAAGGAGTGCCCTACGCTTTGGTCCCCCGTCTTTGTTGCAGTTCCCGCTGAAGCCTGGAACCTTTGCTCCACTTTCAGGCTGTCCAGGGAAGTTTTAAGCGGTGAGACCTCCCAAAAGTCCAACCAATAGACACCAGCGTGGGAATGCGGGACTGAAAGGAGGAGGGACGACCGAGACTGCGCGGTGAGGGGGTGGAGAAGAGGGGCGTGGCCGAGGCTGGGGCCGCCCCGCGGGGGCTGATGCCAACTGTCAGTCCAACCGCCAGCAGGCTGGCTGGGGACTGCGGCCCCCGGAGCGTCTTTCCGTCACGGGTCTGTGTGTGTGTGTCTCCGGTGTCCTCTTTCCGGCCAGCACCTCGCTCTTCGCTTCTCGGGGTTGTCTCCAGGTTCTCACTTTCTCCTTCTCCTTCACCGTCTCCCCATCCCTGGTGCCAGCCATTCTCCCGGGCTTCGGTGTCCAGACCTGAGGGCCTGCCCTGTGCCCCGTGGAAGAGCCCCTCGAGCCCAGCTCAGCCTCGAGAGCCACCGAGGAGCCTGGGTCCCGTGCAGGTGAGCGAGGTTGGGAGACACGAAAGCCACTCCATCCCACAGGAAAGTGGGGCCCTGTCACTGTAGGGTCAGATGCCAAGGCACCATCTGCGCTTTGGAAATCCAGCCTTTGGGAAATGTTGGGTTAGAGCCATGCGGTTGGTTAGGACCTGACAATCAGAGAGCATTCTTGGCTATTTTTGTTTTCTTCCCACTGAAGCCAAACTTCAACCTTAGATGAGCGTTGTGGGGATGAAGGAGAACTGAGACAAGGAAAACCCCTCTAACTACAGAGGTATCTGTGGGCAGCACAAACAGTCGTGAGCTGGAATTTAGGAGATCTGGAGCTTGGTCCATGTTTTGCTACTGAGTGTCCTTATATAAGCTCCCCCCGACCCCCAAAGCCAGGTCAGACTTTATTATTATTCCTCACTGTACTCTTTCTCAGTAAAAGAGCAGGGAGCATTTCATAGGAAGAGGATTCTATGGCAGACATTAATTTGAATTCTTTGCTAAAATGAATAGTTCCAAAGCATTCCTGTGTCAGATTCTTCTCCATCCTTAGTTCCAAGCACATTGTATGAAATAGATGTCCATGCCAGACTATCTGTATTAACACTGCTAACGTGATCAATATAATAATAAATAAAAAATTATTGATAATAGCTAATTGTTATAGTGATAACCCACAAGTGAAATTGTAAAGACATCTGAATTTGTAGTAAGACTTCTATTTGTATAGTGCTTTAAAGTTTGAAAGTCACTTTTGAGTGGTTCTTTATATGGTTTGTCTTAAGTAGGTACTATCCACATCTTACAAACAAGGAATCTAAGGCCTAGAGAGATTCAGTAACCAGCACTAGGTCACAGTACCAAGTGGAGGTGGGACATGAATCGAGTCACATGACAAATGCTTTTCCTTTGGTCATCTCTCCACTTCCTCTCCCTTTCCTTTTCCTAGTTCTTCTGTCACACTCCATGCTCATCCAGTGCTTCATTTTTATCACCTTGAGAATTCCTTTTTAGATGTTAATAGTCATGTTGGCTAAATGATTAATATTTAGATATAACTCATTATTAAAGAATTAACTTCTAAGATTTGAAGTATCTCTCCCAGAAATGAAGAAGGATTTAAATGCTCTTAAGAAGGGGAATTATAATTGTTGTTATTGCAGTCATGCATCATGGAATGATGACAATACCTACGAAGGAATGCATCATTAGGCAGTTTTGTTGTGTGAACATCATGACTATATATATATATATATATATATATACACAAACCTAGATGGAATAGCAGTAGGCTATATGGTACCTATATTTGAATGACCTGTATGGGATATGGAGATAGATACACACACACACACACACACACACACACACAGTAGCCTATTGTTCCTAGAGCTATGATGGACAAAACATGAGATTAAATCACGTATAAAAGAAAATGGTATAAATCAGAAGACTCAGTAAACATGAGATTTGTGAGACTGCTGATAGGTAACATGGATTCTGAAGCAAAGAGAAGCATAGAAATTAAGTAACATGCCCAAGGGTATGTAGTCCTCTTGGTTCAAATAGTTTTTTAACCATTACACCAGCCTGGCTCACTCAGAAGAAAGCTTGACCCTCCCTGGCAGGAGGGCCTGAACTGGGGGAGAGAGGTACATAAAGAAGACACTCTACCTTGGCCTGTTTTTTGATTATACTGTTGAAAGCCCAAGATTGGAGGGGGGGTAGATTTTCTTTTGACTCAATGAGGCCATCTCCCCTACTCCCCATGATAGTGACCCATAGTTCCTAAGTTAAAATCAAGTGACTAAATGAATCATTCATGCACTATTGGAAATTTTTCCTAATTGACTAGAGGACTGTCGCTAAAAGCAGTACTACTTTGTCTTACAGTTCATTGCTCAGAAAGCTGCCTGAGAGATTGGTTTAAAATAATCACACCATTCCTTTGCCAGAAGCTCTAGAGTGGCTCCCTATCTGTGGGATAAACACCTTAATAGGTATCAGAGCCTCCCAGGATCAGGAATCTGCTGACCTCTTCAGCCCCATCACTGCTCATAGCATTTGCATTCTATCTTTATATCCTACTGTACTACTGAAAGTCTCTTTGCTGTTTTCTGTTGCCTATAGGCTTTTCAGGTCCACTCGCTCTGCCCTTCTCCTTCTCTTCTAACATCCACTTCACTCATTTGTTCATTCAACATATAATGTACCAGGGCTGGTTCTAGGTATGAAGGTATAACAGTGAATAAAATAGATATATCTTTGCTCTTTTTGGATCTTCTCTTCTGTAGTATGTACTGAACAAGTATAATATATGAGCGATCAGAGGGTAAGAAATGGAGAAAAGAGCAGGAAAAAGGGACAGAGAAGACAAGGAAGTTGTCAGGGAAGTCCTCACTGGTTGGATGATGTTTAAATAGAGCTGAAGGAGATAAGAGAATGAGCTCTGTGGCTATCAGAAAAAGAGCTCCAGGCAGAGCATGTTAACTATATGAGGCAGGAGGTTACTTGGCCCACACTGTTGGGTGTACACCCTCTGATAGGGTGAACTAGGGAAAAATCTCCCGGCTTCTTTGATAACAAAGAAGATTGCCATTTACCTCTAAAATACAGTCGAAAATCAATATGGAGATTCCTCAAAAGACTAGGACTAGAACCACTGTGTGACCCAGCTTTACCTCTCTTTGGTGTTTATTCAAAGAATTAAAGTCAGCATATTATAGAGATACATGCATACCTATGTTTATAGAAACACAATTCACAATTGGAATCAGCCTAGGTATCTGTCAACAGATGGACAAAGAAAATGTGGTATATGTACCAAATGAAATTCTATTCAGCCATAAAGAAAAACAAATTATGTCATTCACAGAAAAATGGATGGAGCTGGAGAGCGTCTTGTTAAGTGAAATAAACCAGACTCAAAGTCAAGGATTGTATTGTTACTGGCAGCCAAACCAAGGAAACTGCCTGGATCCCTGTTGGCCACCTGCCTGCATAAGAAATAGGCAATGGATATACAAAGAAAAAATGAATTTTATGCAGTTTGATCAAAATGGGGAAAATCAGCTAGAATGTTGTTCTCTGGATTCTACAGATAACGAGGTAAATCCACTACAGAAATGAATACAATTTATAGAAACAAAAGCTAAGTGATTGGCTTATTTTGCTTAGCAAGATATTCTGTACCTCCAGTCATTTACTTGCAAATGCCATAATTTCACTCTTCTTTAAAGCTGAGTAATATTCCATTGAGTATGTATACCACATTTTCTTTATTCATTCATCTATTGAGGGATACCTAGGTTGGTTCCATAGTCTAGCTATTGTGAATTAAACTGCTATAAACATTGTTGTGGCTGTGTCACTGTAGTATGCTGATTTTAAGTCCTTTGGGTATAAACCAAGAAGTGGGATAGCTGGGTCAAATGATGGTTCCATTCCCAGTTTCTGAGGAATCTCCATACTGCTTTCCATAGTGGTTACACCAATTTGCAGTCCCACCAGCAATGTATGAGTGTACCTTTTTCACCACATCCTTGCCAACATTTATTGTTGCCTGTATTCTTGATGATTGCCATTCTGACAAGAGTGAGATGAAATCTTAGAGTAGTTTTGATTTGCATTTCTCTAATTGCTAGAGATGTTTAACACTTTTTCATATATTTCTTGACCAATTGTATTTCTTCTTCTGTGAAGTGTCTGTTCAGTTCCTAAGCCCATTTATTGATTGGGTTATTTATATTTTTGGTGTAAAGTTTTTTGAGTTCTTTATATATCCTAGAGATTGATGCTTTATCGGAGGTGCATGTGGTAAAGATTTTCTCCCAGTCTGTAGGCTCTCTAACCAAAGGCCGAATGTTTTCTCCAGTATGTGGATGCTAATTCACGTGGGGATAGGAAAGATAATAGAATGAAACAGACATTATTACTGTATGTATATATGTAACTACGTGACCAATATGATTCTGTAACATATACACTCAGAAAAATGAAATTATATCCCATCTATGTATGATATATCAAAGTGCATAAACTCATTCTGCTGTCATGTATAACTAAATAAAACAAATTAAAGAATAAAATCTAAGTGATATGCATATGTAGATTTTAGCTAGTCTATGCTTAGCTAGATATTTTATCAGTGATAGTTTTCTTGGCAATGCATATGTAGATTTTAGCTAGTCTATGCTTAGCTAGATATTTTATCAGTAATAGTTTTCTTGGCATCTGTTCTTTGTATGAGGAAGTTTTTATCCTCAGCATGAAGAAATTCAGGAGCTCTCTGTTTTAATATGTTGTCTCTCATATGTGGGAGCGAGAGGAAAAAAAAGGAAAAAATGGATTTTGTGAAAATAGAAGGTATATCTAAAAAGGACAAATTAAAAAAATAAAAATTAAAAAAAGAAAAAAGAAGAGAGACCAATAGGGTTGAAGAATGAAATTGGGAAGAAGGAGGTTAGGGTAAGGGGAGGTATGAGGGAATGAAACTGATCAAATTATGTGCATACATGAATATGTCACAGTGCATCCTGCTATTATATATAATTACAATGTGCCAATAAAAATGAGAAGGGAAAAAAGGGGGAAGAGAAGATCGCCTTTTATCTTAGGCTCCAGTACAGGGAGAAAATTTCTCAATAGAATTATTAATCACAGACATTCACTCAAATGGATTTGGGTTTATATTTGTTACCCAATACTCTAGAAACCCTGCACCAAGAAATTGACATTAAAAACCATCCCAGGCTGTTAAGACCCCTGGATTCTGAGCAGAATAAATGCAGAATGTCTCTGGGGAGAGACACTCTTGACATAGGCTACATAGGATTCCTACAGAGTTTTGAGAACAGATACGTCAGAGCAAGCATATTGCTTATTTTGTGTTTTGAGACCATGGTGTTACTTTTGTATGAAAAAATAAACATTTCAGTTCATCTGTGTCTTCCCTGTGCCCACCAGCAATGGAATGAAAGAAAACTTACATATAGGCTAGCATCTATGTATGGACACACACATTGAGCTGCTTCCTGTCCTTACAGAGATCATGGAAGAAGTGACATCATCCTCCTTCAACAACCCTCTGTTCCAGCAGGAAGACAAGAAAGGGATTACCTACCGGATCCCGGCCCTGCTCTATGTGCCCCCCTCCTGCACGTTCCTGGCCTTTGCAGAGAGGCGTTCAACAAGCAGGGATGTGGATGCACTCTACCTGGTGCTGAGGCGAGGGTTGAGGACTGGGCACTCAGTACAGGTGACTCATCCCAGATCTAGGCCTGGGCCTTATTTTCTCTCCACAGATCTCAGTGCACTTTGGGATTTGTGCCTTTTCCCATCAATGCTAGAAAAACCCTGTGTGGGGAGCTGAGGAGGGAGAAACAGTAAAAATAGTGTCTCTCAACTGAGTGTTTTTTGTGTGCCAGGGACACATTTGATCTTCACAGCTATTCTGTGTCCTAGGTACTGTTGTCAGTCATGGTTCACCTATAAGGAAACTGAGCCTCAGAGAGGTTGCCTTTTGCTAAAGGCCAAGCAGCTATAATACAGTGGTAGGAGGAGGCTTCAAACTGAGTCTCAACTCCAGAGGCCTCCATGGCTCATTCAGATTCAGCTAACATATGGTGAGCTTTTCATTTCTATTTCCAGTAATTTGTATAAATCACCCAAGGAAGTAAACAGTATTAGTCCAATTTTGCTATTGGACTTACTTGAGACCACAGTTAGTAAATAACAATATTAGCCATATTATTACTTTTGCTAAATGCTTAATGTGAGGTATGTATTATTCTTCTCATTTCATAGGAGGAAACTGGGCCTGAGAATTAAAGCAACTTGCTTTGGGCACACATGTAATAAGTGGTATAATTGAAGCTGGAACCCTTGCCCTTAAGTAGCACATTTATACCAAAAATATAGGGAAGAAAGAATAATTGCTGCTCTTAGGCATGGAAGCCCCGAAGTTATTTCAGACCCCATATTTCTTCTTGTTGCCTTCCTTACTCCCAGAGTGGCTGAAGTGAGGATCAGAGGAGGCAATGGCTTTGAGAGTCTTGTTTAAAAAATGTATGGCTGTGTCTCTGCCCATAATAGGTACTTTAATCTCCCTAACCTACCCTACTTTTCTACCTACAGATATCTGAAATCTTACCATTAAACCTTCAGACTTATAGCAGATATCTTCTTTTGTTACAGTGCAAATGTTATTGTGTTTAAAATGGGCCTTGACAACAACCATATTCTTGCTTTTGGTGTCATTGACTCACATTTCCAATCCCTGAAACCTTGAGTTATCTTCATGGCTCCCCAGGATAAGGCTCCTTTCTTGAATAACTGGCCTCCAAAGAGGCCTACTTCTGCATCCCAGCAGAATGTGGATATCTAGCTATTTAATTTTCTTTCGGACAGCCATGACCTGTGGTCATGTTGTCTGCTTTCTTATCAAAGCCAGAGAACTGTTAAGCATTTTTTGTAATCAAACTTTATCTGTTATATAACCTCACTGCCCAGTAGTCAAATACATTCACAAAATTTGTCCATTTTAACTCTTCTCTCTTATTTTATTTACTTTCATCTTCTGTTTTACTTAACCAAAGAGTCTTGAAGTTAGAAAAATCGTTATCTCAATGTCTTTTCCAATCTGGAAATATGTATTCCACTGATAACTATAATAGCTTAGTGGGTAAAGTTGTTTCTTTGGAGTCAGTAAAGACCTACATTTATTGGCTGTCTGACCTTAAATACTGTTTCATCATCTGTAGGATGTAACTGACGATACAAATTATACAACAAGAACAACACTAGTTATTTCCCAGAAAGGGCCTGCTTGCATAACTCTTTAAATGAAGACTCTAATCCTGTGGCAACTTAAATTTTCTTTTAAATGAGGTAATCTCTACCTTTCTATAATTATTCATCGATCTTGTTCTGCCTTCTAGAGCGGTCAGTATCTATACATAATATAGATAAAGTCCCTTTGGCAGAGAGCTTACTCTTTGAAGTACCTGGAAGCTATGTTCATGCCCTTTGAGTCTTCTGTTTTCTGGGATAAGCAGCTTTCTTTCTTTTAGTGGCTCTTTAGGCAGTGGTCCTAGTTTGATTTCTGGTCTCTTACTGACTTTGGGATCTGGTCTGAGATGTCAGTGTCTGTTTTTAAAAGTGTAGTATTCAGAATTGAAGTTAAACTTCAATATAGACTGGTCAGCTCAGCAATGAGGAAGGCTGTCTACTCATATCTGTCTTACCTTGAATCCTTTAATGCAGCCTAAGGTAAAATAGCATCTACTGTTTTGACAGCTGCATGACACAGTTGACTAATATTGAATAGATGGTCAGCTGAAACTTCTTAAGTCTTTTTCTTTCCTTTTTTTCATTTTTTAATTGTGGTAAGAGATATCTAATGTAAAACTTACATCTTAACCATTTTAGTGTTAATTTTATTAACACTGTACAGCTAATCTCTAGAACTTTTTTTATCTTTCAAAACTGAGACTCTGTATCTATTAAACACTCCCCATTTCTCCTTCTCCCCAGCCACTGACAACCACTACTGTACTTTCTATTTCTAAAAATTAGGCTATTACAAATACCCCCACATAAGTGGAATCATACAATGTTCATTTTTTTGTGATGGTTTATTTCATTTAGTATAATAATGTCCTCAGAGTTCATCCATGTCAGAATTTTCTTTGTATTTAAGGCTGAATAAAATACCATTGTAGTATAATTTTGCTTATCCATTCATTTGTTGAAGGACATTGAGTTGTTCCACCTATTGGCTGTTATAAATAACATTACATTGAGTAAGGGTGTGCAGATAGCTCTTTGAGACTCTGTTTTTTTTTGGGGGGGGGGATATATTTCCATAAGGGAATTGCTAGAACATAAAATAATTCTATATTTAATTTTCTGAGGAAGTAACTACTGTTTTTCATATTGGCCACAATATTTTATATTCCTACCAATGGTGTAAAAGTGTTTTGGTTTCTTCACACCCTTGCCCAAACTTATTTTTTTATAGTAGCCATTCTTATGGGTGTGAGATGAGATCTCATTGGTTTTTTGTTGTTGTTGTTGTTGTTTGTTTTGTGTCAGGGCCTTTCTAGGCAAATGCTTTACCACTATGCCACAACCCCATAGTGTGGATATAATTTGTTTCCCTAATGGTTAGTGATGTGAGCATCTTTTTTTCCCCCACTTTTTTATTGGTGCATTATAGTTGTATGTAATGAGGTACACAATATAATAATATAATTTGGCCAATGTCATTCCCCAATATTCCCCCTTTTTCCATCCCTCCTCCCTCCCCATCCCTTTCTTCCCTTCTACTCTTCCTTCAATTTTTATAGGAAACCCCCCACCTTTCTTTTCCTTTTTCCAGTTTTTCCAGTAAGTATCTTTTTATATGCTTTTCAGCCATTCCATCTATTCTTTTTTTTTAAAAGAGAGAGAGAGAGAGAGAGAGAGAGAGAAGAAGAAGAAGAAGAAGGAGGAGGAGGAGGAGGAGGAGGAGGAGGAGGGAGGGAGAGAGAGAGAGAGAGAATTTTTTTTTAATATTTATTTTTTAGTTTTCGGCAGACACAACATCTTTGTTTGTATGTGGTTCTGAGGATCAAACCCGGGCCGCACGCGTGCCAGGCGAGCGTGCTACCGCTTGAGCCACATCCCCAGCCCCTACATCTATTCTTTAATCAGGTTTCTTATCCCAGTCCTTGAGCTCACAACCTGTTTTATCTGTCAAGCCTTAGCTTGTTTGTTATGTCTCCATTGCTCCAGTTGGTTTAGATTATTTTGGATTCTAAAGTTTCAGTCCTTTGTTTACAGTTTCTTCTACTTTTGTATCAACTGTGCATTAGACATATCTGGCCCAAATCGTTTTCTTTTCTTAGCCAACAAGGATGACTGAGCTTCTTTGACTCCCCAGCTGCTCAATGATTAAGTTGACTTTATCCCTTACCTTTGAGTTAGTTAGAGTGTGCAAGGTATTCTGATAACAGAAGGGGCTTCCCAAGAAATCCTGAGTTTTCTGTCTCTAACCTAGTTCAAGGAAGGGTTTTTAATCCAGGAGTCTTAGAGTAGATCCCTCTGTGGGATGGGAGTAGCTCTAGAAAACTCTTATGGTCCAGTATGACTGAGATTCTGAGCTGAACTTTGCCCATTCATGCAGAAATTAAATTTTTTGAGAATTTATTTTTTATCTTGGATAGTTAATGATTACACACATGAAGGTGCCTATTTCTTCATATTCTTACCAATAGAATATTATCAAACTGTATGGTTTTTGCCATATGATTTTGTGATATGAAAATATTGTGTCAGTTTAATTTTAATTTATATTTCTTTTTTGTGTGTGAGATTGAACATTCTTTAGTTTTTTCCCTCTTTCTTTCAGTTGTATTAGCTTGTCCTTAGCCCATTTTTATTAGGGTTCTGAAAAATTTCCTACAAACTTATAGCATTATTTTTAAAATATATTAAGGAGATTAGGCCTTTCTTTGTGATATGTCTGATTAGGCATTATCTCATTGTATCCTTATAATACTCCTCTGCATAGATGTTTTTAAATTCTTCATTTAGTTGGTAAAGAGATTGAGGGAAAATAAGACTGAGCAGCTCACCCAATGTCTCACAATGGCGATGCAAGCAGGGTTAGAATGAGATATCTCTGATTTTGTGCTTGAGCTTTTAATAAAGCTGTTGTGAATTGCCTCCCCAGGGTAGCACAGGAAGGAAAAAAAAATTTTGTCTTAAATTTCCCTATATTCATCTAAAACTTCTCTGTTTTCCTGCCTGGCTTTGCTTTGCATGTTTTCTTCTTCCTTCTTTCCTTCCTTCCTTTCTTATTTACTTTTATTATTTTTTAATTATAGTTTTATGTTAGAGTATATTTTTTTCAAATATATTTACTTTATTTATTTTTATGTGGTGCTGAGGATCGAACCCAGTGCCTCACATGTGTGAAGCAAGCGCTCTACTGCTGAGCTATAACCCCAGCCCCCTTATTTATTTATTTATTTGTTTGTTTATTTATGGTACTGAGGATTGAACCCAGGAACTCTACCACTGAGCTATATCCCCAGCCCTTTTATTTATTTATTTTTATTTTGAGATAGAATTTGCTATATTAATTGAGGTTGGCCTCAAACCTGGGATCCTACTGCTCAACCTCCCAGGTAGCTAGGATTACAGGTGAGTGCCACTACACCTAGCCTTGCTTTTCTTCCTTTTCTCTTTTTTCCTTCCTTTTCTTTTTCTCTCCCCTCTTCTTTCCTTCTCTTTGCAATTCTCCTTCCTTTTTTGCCTTTCTTTTTTGCAAAATTTTATTTAGTTACTGTCATGTGCCAGGCACTAGACTTAACAAAATTAGTACAATTTGGTTTCTACCCTCACATGTCTCATAATCTAGGCAGGGAGACAGTTACAAAAAATTTGCAATGTTTTATAATTTCTGTAACTTACAGGGAATGCTTCACAAAGGAGGTGACTTTTGAGTTGGGTATTGGAGGATGATTTGGAAATCCAGAGAAAGCAAGGAACAGCATTTCAGACAGAAGGGACCACATTTATGATATCTAGCCATGTCTTTTTCCAACTTTATAGGTCATCCTACAATACTTGAGAATTTGGGGACTACTTGGGCCTTTAGAATTTTGTAGATTTTAGGGCTGGGGATGTGGCTCAGTGGTAGAGCATTTTCCTGGCATGCATGAGACTATGGATTCAATGTTTGGTACTACAAAAAAAGAATAATTTTGTACATTTCAATATTATTTATTTTTCTGTTTATGAAAAGTACCAATGCTTTTAATGAGCCTCATATCTTACATTAGCATTTTACTCCCCCTGTCTCTCCTTTTCTCTTGACTAGTGGGGACCCCTGAAGCCACTGGTGGAAGCCAGTTTACCTGGGCATCGGACCATGAACCCCTGTCCTGTGTGGGAGCAAAAGAGTGGCTGTGTGTATCTGTTCTTCATCTGTGTGCGGAACCATGTCACCGAACGTCAACAGATTATGTCAGGCAAGAATGCTGCTCGCCTCTGCTTTGTCTGCAGTCAGGATGCTGGATGCTCGTGGAGTGAGGTGAGGGACTTGACTGAAGATGTCATCGGCTCAGAGTTGAAGCACTGGGCCACATTTGCTGTGGGCCCAGGGCATGGCATCCAGCTGCAATCAGGGAGGCTGGTCATCCCTGCATATGCCTACTATTTCCCTTGTCGGTGCCTTTGTTTCACACTACCATGTAAAACAAGGCCTCATTCCCTGATGATCTACAGTGATGACTTCGGGGTGACATGGCATCATGGTAAGCTCATTAGACCTTTGGTGACAGTGGAGTGCCAAGTGGCAGAGGTGACCAGGAAGGCTGCTCATCCTATGCTCTATTGCAGTGCCCGGACACCAAACAGGTACCGGGCAGAGGCTCTCAGCACTGATCATGGTGAATGTTTTCAGAGACAGACCCTGAGCCCACAGCTCTGTGAGCCCCCACATGGCTGCCAAGGCAGTGTAGTGAGTTTTCGGCCCCTGGAGAACACACTTAGATGCCAGCACACAGGTGGCAAAGATGCTCCTACCATTCAGGAGAGCCCTCTGCTGGACAATTCACTGAGGCTGGAGGAAGGTGCTGGAACAGCATCAGAAACATGGCTCTTATACTCCCACCCAACTAGTAAGAAACGAAGAGTTGACCTGGGCATCTACCTCAACCAGAACCCCTTGGAGATTGACCACTGGTCTCACCCTTGGATCTTGCACTGCGGGCCCTGTGGCTACTCTGATCTGGCCGCTGTGGAGGAGGAGGGCTTGTTTGGATGTTTGTTTGAGTGTGGGACCCAGTGTGAGTGTGAGCAAATAGCCTTCCGTCTGTTTTCAGACCAAGAGATCCTGAGCTGCATATAGGGGATCTGCACCATTCCTGGTAGGAACCTGAGCCAATTCAAGACAAATAATTTACTGACTTTTCCATAGAAGAGAATGGCAGCCACAGCCAGGATAACAGAGGTTACTGAGGTATACAGAGAATCAAACCCTTAATATTGTGCTCTCTGCCTTTTTTTCATTTCTTCTCCAAAGAGCAAAATGAAAAATTCTCCATAGCTCCTGCAGTCAAAAGATCACTGACATGGCCGGTTTTAGAATATTGGACTTGTTACCTGAACTTTCTGGGCCTCAGGTGTCCATCTGTAAAATGAGAGAATTGATTCTGTGATCTCCTGTCTTCCCATTACTGGGAGAAGCAGAGAACCTATATGTTCCATGATTAGCAAGTCCTGGCTGCATAAGGATTCTGCTCAGAATGGGCGCCAGAGGACTTTATTTTCAAATGACTCTTCCCTAATCATCTTATAAGGTTACACACAGGGGTCGAGGCAAGAAGAAAGACCTGGATTTGTTTTTCATATTTAATAACAAAACACCCTTACCCTTCTAATCATGCTCCAAGCTTTGCAGGCTGTCCATCTTAGAGGAATTGAGCAAGACAGCAGAATCATGAGGTCGCCTACTTTCTCCAGCTTTGCAGCTCTGCTCAACCTTCCCTTCCTTATCCAGAAAACATTTCCTGGGAGAAAAATGAGAAACCAGCAGCCCTTGATGATGGTGCTTTCTGCTTCTGATATCATTATCTTGATGAAAATGAGCCTGATGTTAATTTTCCCATCAGAGTGATTCCTGTTGGGAAAAGGACATAGGTTTAGGATATTAGAACACTGGACAAACCAGGCATGTTGGTATACATCTATGTCCCAGCTACTCAGGAGGCTGAGACAGGAGGACCCCTTGAACTCAGGAGTTCAAGGCCAATTTGGGCAATATAGAGAGACCATATCTCTAAAAACAAAACAAAAAAATGGACAAAACTTCCTATGGTCCCTTCAAGGAGCTCACAGTTTATGGAGCTAGAAAAGGAATTAGATTTGAGAAAAAAATTGCTGATGGTGGATAGTTGGTAGATACTGGGCTCTAAATTGGGATGATGGTAACTCCTGATGTCATTGTTTTAATTGCATCTTCAGTATACCTGGAGTCCTCTGTCCAAGGGCTTGTCCAGGTGGCTGGGTTTTCCCCAAGTTGGTTTTATTCAGAATGTTTTTGTGGCACAGCCTCTCCTTTATCATTGGGGAAGGTCCTCACCCATTAGAAGGTCATGGGCTGTAAACCTCTAAATCAGGCCTAGTTGTTTGGACCTATTGGAATTGCTACTTTTGAAGTGGGGATGACTCTCCATCTAAGACTTTTGGGGCTGAACTTACTTAGTCAGTCATGGGTATCTCACATGATATTACAATGATTGCTTCTATCTTAGATTGTTTCCCTAATAGGCTGTTATTTTATGACAGAAAATTTACCATGAGATTTATTTTTTGTCTCTATCTTTCTCCCTATTTAAGGAGGATAATGCCTTAAACTCAAGCTAAATATTTTTTGGTGCTAGGTAATGATCATGAAGAGTAAGCCTAGTTATGGGATGCAGCTAGGAGGCTAGAGTTGTAGTTATACAAGGCAGGTAAAGAATGTCATACTTGAGCATATTGCTTAAGACTGTAACTTTGAATGGATTTTAAAAATCCACTTAGCCTTGCATACATTTGCCAAAGTAATCTTCTTAGTACAGTTATGATCTTCATCCATTTGTGTGTACATTTATTTAAATATTTCTTGAGTGGCTCTGCATAATGCAAGGTACTTCTGTTGTCATTTCTTGGTTCAAAATCATTTGTGGCTCCCATTGCTTACTAAAGTTTAAACAGCCTGACATGCAGGACCTTCCAGTTGGGGATTAAAAATAATACATTACTACTTCCCTTTACTTCCTTATATGAAGCCCACTATCAGGGAAGACCTTTGTCAAGCTGGCCAAGTGAAGGGTGGCAGGGGCCTAGGGGTGGGCAGGGTTGGTGGTATAGGGAGGAATTGAGGAAGAGGAGAGTTAAAAAAGCATTTCTACCTCCTCCTAAGAGGTAGAAATGCCTTGCTCAGCAAAGCTTTCCTGAGCACTACACCCCCAAGTAGATAGGGACTGGAAGGATGGCTAATTCTAAACCAGGGATAAGAACATCCAGACTTCTTTAGGATTGTCTAAAGGAGTCAAGGAAGGGATCTTGGTCATGTGCCAGCATGGGCCAAAGCTGTGTAACATCAGTATTCATAAGATATCCATCTCTTAATTGCCCCTCACCCTGTACTCCTCCCTTACCTCATTTGTTCTCCTTAATGGCTAGCAGTGAAACTTTTAACTGGAAAAGGGCTTATGTGCTTACTTAAGGGATGAGGAAATCCAGAATGAGGCCTAGAGTGGGTGATGGCAGCTGTGAAGAAAAAGATCAGCAGATATGAGTCTGTCACCTTTAGGAAGGGAGAGAATGTGGCCCAGTTGTGAAGCCTGGGCTGGAGAGATGGTGTAGGTGGTAGCTGCTGTGAAGAAGAAATGACAAAAGGCTGGGGATGTTTCCTGAAACCCATGGGAAGGGAGAGAACCCTGCACAGGCCTGCAGCTTAGCCTGAGAGGAGGGTCAACCTAGCCCTATACCAAGCTAACTTAACTTGGCCATGCTAAGTGAACAATAAATACAGCTATAGGCACTCCAGTGCTGGTGCCAATCACCCAAGGCCTTTAGGGCCCTGGGACCTACCCTAAGTAAGCTCATTTCAGCTACAATTTGGATGGTAGAGTGGAAAAGATAGGGAAAGTGGTGACAGCTGTGAAGAAAAGAGGAAAGCAGAAGTGTACCTCTTGGGACCAAATTAATTATCCTTTGCCCTCCAAAGCCCACCGTCCTGTTCCTTGGAGAATGGATGCATCCAGCATACATGACCTACCACTAGGTGTGCACCCAATCAAGTGCCCACCCATTCAAACTGTTGACCCTACTCATGTTCCTTAACTCCTCAGCTCTTTAATATTTATCTCAGGTCCTTGTTGTTTTGTGCTTTGTTTGTACCTGTTTTTCCTGGTGACCAGTTTCCCCTCAGGTGGCCAAAGATGTTTGTGACTATAGCCAGAGATAAGAAACTTTTCATTTTGCCTGTTGGGTAATCCAAAGGACCCATAGGGGTCAACCCAAGGCTGTAGGATTGATATCTCCATCTGGATCTGGCTGCTGTCTTCCCCAGTAGGCTATAAGTGTCCCTACTGCATTATTGGAAGAGATGTCATGTCATTCATCTCTGTGCTGTCAGAGGCTGTACTCTTGAGTTTCTTTTTGATTCTTCCACAGGCTGCTCTGTATATACCTCTCTAGGCCTCTGCTAGGCTGGAGACTTCTGAGATCCAAGTCTGTCTGACTACTCTCTGTCCTTTTTACCTTGAAAAAATATATATGAAATGACTTATCTATAAATACATACTTTTTCTACTACATTTGGAATTCCTTGAAAGTAAGGACTGTTTGATTGCTTTCTTTGTCCTCTGAACCCAGTATAGGGTCTGGAAAAGAGTGGACAGTAGAAAAGACAGGCTAAGTGAATGAATGAGTCGGCCTTCTGGAACTAACTAAGGAGGCCCAGAGGGAGTTCTGCTACAAGGAGGATATTATGTCTCTCTATAGTTGCACAATATTCAAAACCTGCTGAATGCTCACCCTAAATGAATGTTCTCTGCCCTGGCCTGCTTCCATGTTAGTCATAGTATTTCCTGGGAATGGGCTTTTCTTTGGCTTGGTCCTGCCAGATGTTCTCCAAATTATAGCCCAAGCCTAAACCCAAGCTATGATTCAGGGTTCTCATTTCACAGGTATTTCCCCTCTGTCCCCGATTAGATTTTCTGTAATTGCCACTTTTCTAGGACTCCAAGGAAGATGCTGAGACTCAGCATGTTCTGAGTGGTCTTGGCTTTATGATGCCAAGTACCAAAAATACTCCTTGTATCATAAAACTACCACCACTCTTAAAGAGTAAAAAGCTTAATTTTGTTGACCACTGTTTTTTGGTTAAGGAAACTGAGATGATGATCATTCTACTATCTATTCCCAACTTCAAAAATGAATTTGAGGCAGTTCTTTTCACAAGAACTTTTACTTTTAGAAAACCTTAATAATAACAATCCATTGTGCCTTTACACATTGCCATTTGAACATAGTTGACTGTGAAGGGAAGCAGGGCAGGGGCTATCAAGACTAACTCAATAGCAGGCTATTTAAATAGAGGATTCAGGGTGTACAGGGTCACAATGACCCCAGATCCAGTGCTCATCACTGCATGTCTTATGTATTTCAAAACACTTTAAAGTTATTATCAAGCTGTAGTTGAAAAGCCCACAAATGTTTACCTAAACATAATGAATGGGCTTTAGTTTTAACTTCTGATTTTAACCGAATTTCTGTTAGTTCCATTGGGATGCTTATAAGGCACTACTGGATTTGGCCATATATTTTAGCACAACTTCTTGTGTTCTGTCAGATCAGTCGGTTAAATTCACTTTTGAAAAGGCTTCAAATGGGCAAATCTTTTGCCATAATACTGAGAGTCCTATATGATCAAACAAATAAAGTTTGGAGAACTACTAATTTACCTCTTAAAGTAGTTTACAGTAATTACTTATATAATCATTTAAAAATCTGGTGCTCTGTTTTATTTTTACATGTTTTATTAGATGGCTTAATGTCTGAAGGGCTTTGGGGCTTGAGAGGAATACTCAAGTCTGCTATGTAAACTTTAGTAGTGAACATTATTGAACTCATATCAAAATATTAAAACCTTTAAAATATTTATACAGTAATAAATTTGATTAAAACTGCCTTAAATATAAATACCAATTATAAATTAAGTAGACCTGATCCTTTTTTTTTTTTGATACTGAGGATTGAATTCAGGGGCACTCAACCACTGAGCCACATCCCTAGTCCTATTTTGTATTTTAGAGTCAGAGTCTCACTGAGTTGTTTAGTGCCTCACCATTGCTGAGGCTGGCTTTGAACTTGCAACCTTCCTGTCTCAGCTTTCTGAGTTGCTGGGATTACAGGTGTGCACCATTGCACCTGGCTTAGAGCTGATCCTTTTTGAAAAGTTCAAGCACTATAAATATAGGTAAAATATAACTAATCCAATTACCATAAAATATACCCTTATACCAAAATGGAGTACAAGGAGTTGATGCCATGGATTTACATTTTGAGAGTTCGAATTTTTAAACCTCCCCAGGCTTTTAGTAACTTTATTAGGGTCTCTCTACTCTCACCTTCCTAGGGATTTAGTAATAGCAGTACCAAAGAAAAAGAATACCTGCCATTTTAGACAAGCTGTCCAATAGGCACATTGAACTGGTAAGTTGTTGGCTAGAACCACAGACAAATATCCTTGACCAGTGGAAAAATGCCTGCATGCATTAGAAACAGAATAGAGTCAGGAAGCATCCTGATGCCATCCACTTGGGCTCTTCACTGTTGTGAGAACCAAAGACCCCCTGACCTTTATTTTATTTTTTAAGCTACTGTGAGTTGGATATATATAACTTGCAACCCAAAGAATTTAAATATCCATTCTCACTGAAAATTTGATTACTTGGTACCATGACCTGTTAGTCACTACCTGAAGATGAAATATAAGCCGTAAGTAATTAGCTGTCAATACAGTCTACTAAAGTTTGACAGTATTATGTAAAAGGTACGTTACCAAGAGAGACATTGGGATAGACTGCAGAGGACCTTACTTGGAGGAACAGGAAGCTTAGGATCCTTGTTCTAGAGTTAGCCACTAACCTGCTGTATGGCTTTGTCTGAGTTACTGGCTCTCTCTGGAAAGCAGTTTATTCAACTTTAGCATGAGCACATCCATGTCCTCCTGCCTCACCAGGGATTGTGTGCGCTTGCTAGGCCAGTAAATTCTGAAATTTATGTTATATAAATGGGAAGATAAATTGCCTTTATCTGACCTTTGGTCTTCATGACCCTCAGCACTGGCAGCATGTGATGTTTGAGTGCTAAGAATGAATTACAGAGGAGAGAGTGTGGCAGGGCCCACTGAGGAGGGCACTGAAAGGCTGACAGCCATCCCTTGAGGAAACTGCAGGCCTGATGGTTTTGACCAACCTTCTGACTTTTCCCTGTATCTTTTGCTTCCTTACTATAAGGAATTACCTAATCTAGGTATGGAAGAGGCCACAAGTAGTCAGAAAGGGACTTGGTCTGCCTCATCTGTCCTGTGTGCCTACTAGAAGGCCAGCGTATTATAGGAAAGAAAGGTGCAAGGAGAATAACATTTGTAAAGTGCCTACTGCATGCTTTGAGTTATATATTCTCTTGTTAACTCTTTAGAGAGAGAAATATATTTCAGTGTTACACACCCAGTAAGTAATGAAGACAGAAATGATTGCAAACCTCTGTCTTGGTCATTCAGCAAAGAAGAGGCAGAAGTGGGATGATGCTTACTTCACAAGTTGATATGAGGAGAGTGGTGTTGCCTAAGTCCTTGGAGCATGGTGGGCATTTAGCAGCTGGTAAGAAGCTGAAGGTGATGGTCCCTGGAGCAGTGGGTCTCACTGTGTGCTCAAACCAAAGTCATCCTTTTTTGTTTTATCCAAGAGAAATGCATTTCTTTTTCTCCTTGGAAGCCCAGATCTACTGGAATCATATCCCAGTGCCCCCAACCTTTAGAGCAGCTGCCTTTTCAAAATCCAGAGTCATTCTAAACATAGATTTTGTTGTCATCAACTAGGAATGGAACCAGAAATGAGAGCATGGATTCCCTGAAGGGGTAAACATAGAACTTGATAACAGGTGAAGCCGACTTAGTGCCAATGGGAAGCCCAGGGGCCTGCAGGCACTGGGCAGCTCTCTGAGCCACAATTTGGAAATAGATTTTTGTGTTTGGCTTTAGCTAGCAGTGCTGCCTCAGTCTTTCCCCACTGTGGGCCAGTCTCTTGAGCTGTACCCGGTAGCTAGGTCTGAGCTCCCAAGCAAGGTGAATAGTCCTCCATATTCTCTCATCTTTGTAATAACAAAAAAAAAAAAGCAAGGCATCATTGTCCCCAAGCTACAAATGAGGAAACTGAGCATTGAAAAGGTTAAATGGGCAAGTATCTTTATAGTTTCTTCATCTATAAAAACCAGGGTAATAAAAGTCCCTCATAGTGTTGTGAGGATCAAGTGATACAATATTAAAACTTAGATAAAAGTTTAAAAGTATCTGGTACATAGTAGGTGTCCAGAGAATGGAAGCTTCTGGGACTTTTGTTTTTTCCTGTAGTAATTATATTAGCCCATCACATGTGCACAGTGGGTGCTAGAGCTAAATGCTTGTGTCTCCCTTAATTCATATGTTGAAATTTAACAAGGTGATGATATTAAGAAAACGGGCCTTTGGGGAGTAATTAAGTCATGAGGGCTTGTCCTCAAGAAAGGGACTGGGGCCCTCATGAAAAGCCTAAAGCAGCTTATTAGCCCTTTTGTCCATGTGAGGATGCAGTTACAGGGTGCAGGCTGTGAGGCAGAAAGCAAGTCTTTGCTAAATCTTCAGTCACCAAATCTGCTGGCCTTGATCTTGAACTTTCTAGCCTCTAGAACTGTGAGAAATAAACTTCTGTTGTTTATGAATTATCTAGCCTAAGGCATTTTTGTTATAGCAGCCTGAACTAAGTGTAATTAGCAGTACTTTTCAAACTTATACTTGCTTATGAATCACCTGGGTAGATTAAAAAAAAAAAGTTCTCAGCCCCCCATCCTCAAGTTTCCTTCCCCAAGAATCTAATTCAGTAGATCTGGGGTAGGGCCTGAGGATTTGCATTTATAATGAGCTATCAAGGAATGCTGATGCTGCGTGCCAACAGACCACTCTTTGAATAGAATTCAGTTGCAATGCTTACCTCTCCATCTATTCCCTCACCTAACTTCTACTCATTCTCCCCATGAGGTAGGAGGAACAGTGTCTGTTACTTGAATGTTCATGTGAAACCAAGCTCCATTTCCCAAATAGGTGTCTAACTTAAGTCCCTAGCCTGCCAATCAGCTGTATTCTTGCTGGGTTAGAAAGTCAGCTTTCCTATGACTTGGCAATTGCCTGGGTTTCCTACTAATATTCCTACCTAATCTCATGGAGATTATAAAAGTGATACTATAGTTTGGACACAGACTTGGGCCTGTTGGGCACAAGGTGCTTTTCCATGTGTAAGACAGGTTTACATGGCCCCAGGACTCAGCCAAGGACTGTGTAGGTGGTAGACAAAGAGACCTTGAGTTAGTTGAGCTGCTGAGGACTCAGTTCTGTGAAAAGGGGTTTTATATGCCTGCAAAAAGGGAGAATAAGGGTCAGGGCATGTGAGTCGTCTAGAGAATTGCCAAGCTAAAGATTGCTGAACTCCATGGATTTGTGAGTCAAGTCTGAGACTCAGGAATCGAGGATGGGTTACAAGATTCCTATCAGACAATAACCTGACACTATGTAAGGTCTGGACTGTTATATTCCGCTCTCAGTGGTTACATTGTATGTGGCCACAAGGCAGAGGTCCTCCTGACTGCCTTTTGATACTAGCTCTCTCCACTCAGGGACTCTAGACTCAAGTTTCTCTGGGGTCAAGGCATTGGGAAATTGACAAAAGGGAATGGTGCCCTTCCTGCTACTCTGTGTGCCTGGTTTAAAAGCTCAGACTTCTGTATTAAAATTGAAGGATGGTTTTAGGATATAGAATTTGGCCTGTTGGCTGGTATGAGCTTTAAGGAGAGGAGACTAAGTCCATTTGTTCATCATCTTATTCTGCTAATGTAATAGGACTCAATAAATATTTGTTGAATGGCTGTTCCATTTTCATCACTTGGAGAAGTAGAGATCCTACAAAATTCAGAACTCAAAGGTAGGTCTTAGACAGGATGGGACACTCCTGCCCTTTTTGACTCACTTGTTTTGATTTGAGACTTCCTGGAATCAAAGTGATCCAGAGGATGATCCCCAGCATCTCAAGTTAAAGTGAACCCTGGATTCAGGTAGGTGCCACTAAGAGGACCCCAGGCTGGAACTGAGGAAGATCTACTTTGCATTTCAGTAACCCTTGCACTTACCATTCTCTTTGCTGTTACTCAGAAAGAAACCCTGCCTGAAAGCCTGATTTGAACACTGCAGTCCTACATCTACTATGTAGCTGACATTAAGGAATGGTTGCTGAGCTCATCTGGAGCCCTGAAAATGAACAGTGGGGTTTCCAAAGGCCAGTTGGTAATGGCAATAATTATCAGTGAGAGAAGACCTAAAGGGGAAGATGACCCTGGAGGCCAGAGCTTTATGTGAGAAAGAAAGGGACTTGAGGGTAGGGAATCCTTGTTTGCTTTCTAGGCCAGTGGGTGTCCCAGTGCTCCAGGAGTTCCAGTGGGAGGACACAGGTCCAGAGTCAGGAGTTGGGACAAATCCTCATAGACCTCCTGGGCTCCGTGGGCCTGATAAGGATCCAGAGTCAAAAGCTAATGCACCCCTACTGTGGGGCTAGGGCTGATCCTGCCAGCTAGGAACAGGTAGATTCTAGATTCAGGAGCTCAGGTCAGTGGCAGTGTTAGGGCAAGGCTGCTGCTTTTGATGGCATTCAAAAGTGCCTGGCCAAGGGGCAAGAAGAGCCTGAAATCCAGCCAAGAGTACTAAGGCTGCTACTGTTTAGAGGTTCATCATTTTCTGTGTAGCACCGAGTGGGCCATAGAAACCCTGGTCTTGAGTAGCTAAGTTAGGACTAATCACTGCTGCCCGAGAATTCTGGGCTGGGAAATCCATGATGTCTGGCTTCTTTGGAGGATTCTGGGTCCAAAGCCTGGCTCCCCTCCTTGTGATATCTAAGAGAAGTTGACCTGGATCTGTGAGTCAGGCTGAGTTACCCTCACTCAGGGCCACAATACACCTGCCCTGCATTTAAATATAGATCCTCTTGAATGAGGACTGTGGATCTCTTTAAAAGAAACTATGGGATTTCTGGTTAGAGGGCAGACATTAATAAAATATATTTTCTATGACAAAAGTGGGAGGGAAGAAGGAAAACAAATGGCATTTAGTAAAATGTTATTTATTGAAGTTATTGAGTTGAACGTTACTGGATAGAAAAAATTATGCTGGGAATGAAGAAGCAGCCTGGGGTAGAGGTAAAGGGTCTTAGTTCTAATTCTAGGTTTAGATTTTCCTTTTTTATCTCTCCCTTCCTTGCTTTTCTTCTCATCCTCCCAGCCCTGCTTTTTAAAATCAGCTGAGGGGCTGGGGATGTGGCTCAAGCCGTAGCGCGCTCGCCCGGCTTGCGTGCGGCCCGGGTTCGATCCTCAGCACCACATACGACGAAGATGTTGTGTCTGCTGAGAACTTTAAAATAAAATTCTCTCTTCTCTCTCTCTCTCTCAAAAAACAAAAAACAACCAGCTGAGTAAGAACTTGGGCAATGTAGTGAACTCTGAGCCTGCTTTTTCTCCTCTGTAAGGTGGGCACAGCAGCACTAACCTCATTGTTGCCGTGAGAGCTTGTAATCCATCTATGTGATGCGCATGGGTGAGAGTCCAGAGGAGCTTGTTCTCCCTCCCTGCCTTTCCCACTTTCATAGCCGAGTGAGGCTAAGGGTCTTGGAAGCAGAGTCTGTAACTGAGTGTGGGGCTAAGAGGGATCTCTTCTGTATCTGAGGGAACCACAGTGACCCACTGAGAAAATCTGGCTTCTGGCCAAGGGGGGACCTGAAGATGTGAAGATTATGGCCCTGTCACATCATGTTTGGACTGCCATATCAGTTACCTCATGGCCTCTCCAGCTTCCTGTTCCTTCCAGTCCATTCCCCATACTTAATGCCTTCTTTAACAATAGGATAAAGCCTTTAGCTTAGTGTTTAGGATCCAATCTAGCTACCCCATCTCCACAACAGTCCTCCATATGTGTAGTCAGATATTCCTTAACAGGCCATATTGTTTATATCTCTGTGTGCCTCCCTTTGCCTAAAAAGCTATTTCTCTTCTTTGAAACAACACACACACACACACACACACACACGAAACAACAAAACCCTCTGTTTTTCTCTCATGTAGACAACTTTAAGGTCACATTCACTGAAGAGCCTGCCCTATCCCCAGATTGAGATAGGCTCTGCTCTGATCTCCCATGTTCCCTTTAACACAGTACTGACCAACAACACTGACCATGCTGTGTGAAATGTGTCCGTTTTATGTCACCAAGCCAAACCTAGAACCTAGCACAGAGTATGAACACTGTGTGACTTGTTGGATGCAGGTGCCTATGTGAAAAAGTGATAGGAGTGATGGGGAGTTTCTGGTAAGTGGCAAGTGGCGGGTAACCCTGCCCTCAGGCTTCAAAGGGTCATCTGGACTGGGTACAGAATAAAGAACTTATGATATTCTTCTTTTTTGATTCAGGATATTAGGTCTGAATTTGTTTCTAAAAATCAGATGATGTTATCTGTAAGACCATCTGGATATAGCAGGACAAAAGTCTAAAATTTGAGTCATCTGTATGAGTTGTGTACTGCTCTGTCCAGGGGACTGTCAATATTAACCACTAGGTGGCAATCTTTCCCTAAATCCCTTCAGGCCACAGGCAACGGAATCTGCCTGTGTATGGTGGGTAAAAGAAGATCCATCTCTGCCTAGGTTTTCAAAACTGCCTGGAGGCATCGTGTATTAACTCTGTTATCCCCAAGGGGAAATTGGTGTCCCAAGAAGAACACTGGCTTTCCAGAGAAGTTCTGTGTGTGCACGTGAGCATGGGATCTCTTATGCTGCCATCTGAGACTAGTGGGTCTGTTGAGCTTCAGATGGCCCAGAGCTGATTTTCCTGGCACAGTGTTCAGTTTCCCCTTTGCCCACTCTGTTGCCAAGTCCCTGCTCAGAGTTGGGCAGCTGAGCTTTCATTTGATTCTGCCAGACACCCAAGGCCCAACCCCTCATTCATGTAGAGTCACCCTTAGCTGGTCTGGGGCCATGGAAGAGCCGCACTGATCCTTCCCCTCTTACTTATGTGCCTCTTTGTATAGAGGCATGGGATTTGCTGTGGTGTTCCATGCCTGCCTATGGCCAGGAAGAACTGGGAGGAGAGTCATCTAAATTCTTGGAATTCCTTACCTTGCTCCCTTTGATCACTGCTGGATGAAATGGAGCCACTCAGTGAATTCCTCCTCTCATATCTCTTTACTAGAAACTTCTATACAGTCTCTGTTATACCCCAGGGTGGCCTGTGAGTTCCTGGTTCAGCAAACTTTCTGCCTGGATATAGGGACAAGGTCCCCCTTCTGGCAGGTATGACCAATTTCTGTGAGGAATGCTTCCCACTCTCCATCATGGCAATAACTTCACGGTTTGAACCAGCACTCCTCACAAGGCCTGACTTCTCCCCTTCCCTCCTAAGTGTACTATGTGACACTCCTTCATGCCTCTCTAGGGATGGGGTCTTAAGGCCTTTTGTCCTCAGCTTTGGGTTGTTATTCCAGTTCCACATATAGAAGACCTCCTGTCAACCTTACTTGACATCCTGTCAAGCAAACATCTGGACAGATACCTTGCTTAAGCATGACAGGGTTTAATTCAGAAGGGAGAAGATGGGGCTCCTGGAGGTAGGCACTGCCATTGGAGCTCCTTGTCCCCAGCACCAAGCATGGGACCTGCCTGTAACAAGCCTGGGGATGGTTACAAAGGGCTCTGAGGTGACCCCAACCCTTGTGTTAAATCAGTGTGCCTGCTTTCAGCAGGAGGGCCCCTTCTATCTGAAGGGACTCATATTCTCCTCTATAGCAAGTGGAGGAGGGTGGAGCACAGAATAATTCCTGAAGGCAAGCATTGTGTGGCCATTATTGCAGGGGTTCTCAAGCTTCTCTCATTCACATGCCTCCTCCATGATTTTTGTTAAATCTGTGTATCATTCTTTTTTTTTTTTTTTTTTTTTTTGGTACCGAGGATTGAAACCAGGGGTACTTAACCACTGAGCCATATTTCCATCCCTTTTAAATATTTTATTTGCAGATAGGATCTTGCTGAGTAGCTTACAGTCTTGCTAAGTTGCTGAAGCTGGCTTTCAACTCACCATCCTCCTGCCTCAGTCTCCTGAGCTGCTTAAATCAGGTGTGCACCACCATGCCTGGCTTCATTCTTTTTTTATTATTATTATTATTATTTGTATTTGTAGATGGACAGGCTGCCTTTATTTAATTTGTTTCATTTTTTATGTGGTACTAAGGATCAAACCCAGTGCCTCACACATGTTAGGCAAGTGCTCCACCATTGAGGTATAGCTCCAGCCCCTGGCTTCATTATTAATATTTTTCTTTAGCATACTGTTTGTAAATATTTAATTTCATGATCTCTTAAGCATTGATACTCACAGGTTTGATATATTTTTTCTAAGATACTTTAAAATAAAATACATCGCTATATTTTTAAATATAGCAAAGACCACTCCCAAATATCCTAGATACTGCCAGTGAGGTGTATACCACACCTGAGTTATTTAACTTTCACAAAAACTTATGAGGTCATTGATGTCATTTCTGCTTTACAGGGGAAGAAACTGAGGCTCTGAGAGGTGCATTGACTTGGCCAAGGTCACCAAGTCTTCTGATCCTGGCCCTGAAGCCTAAAGAAGGGCTAGGGGAAGGGAGGAACGTGTGTTTAAGGGATGATGAGGTGGAGGGGGACAAGGACAGCTGCCAATGAGAAATGAAAGAAGGCAGGGAAGATGGGGTGGGGGATAAGACTCCATATCAGAAAGGCAAATGACCTGAGTTCCAATGTCCTATGCACAGTAATGGCCATGAAAATAGCTGCAGATTTGCCTGCATTTG